GGTGCAGGTGGAGGATTGGGAGGGCATGCAAGGGGCACGTGGGGCATGAGTAGTGTGGGTCCTGGGGGGCAGGGGCGCTGTGCGGGGTCACAGTGTATGGGACATAGCCCAGGGGGTTATGGAGGACTTAGAGGAAGGCTATGAAGGTGTAGGGCAGACAGAAGAGGGGATGTCAGGAGGCTGCATGTAGGGTTGCAGGAGCATTGTGAGGGCTCAGACTCTGGTAGCACTTGTACATGGGGTCCAAGGTGCCCCTGATACATTGGGGTGTGTGTGTGATCTGACAAGCCCCAGGATCTCTGTGGAAAACATCTGAAACGCTGTGAGGGTGTAGCATGAAGCATTCCTGTTGTTTGGGAATACACCCCAAAATATGGCTGAAATACAGGGAGAGGTGTGCATATGGGATGCCCCTTGCTACAGAAACAGCTCTGATTGGCAATTGCCTCAGAGCTTCACAGGCGATTGAGTGCAACCCATGTCACTTAGACGCCACCCTTGCATGCTCCCATGTCCCATGCATGTCAGATCCTGTCATCACTTTGCAGCTGAGTGGGTGGCTCAAACCTTCTCCCCCAGGTAGCCCAGGAAAGGTGCTGAAGAGCCCATATGGTGCCTGAGCAACTGGGAGCAGGACAGTCCCAGGCGTCCCCTTCCCGCTATGCTGGAAAAGGTGGTTTCTGTGGTGGAGTTCCGGAGTGTGTTTTGCGGGTTAGGATTTGAGGGCCAAAGCCAGCATCAGCTGGGGCACTGGCTGAGCATTGTTTTAACCTGTCTGAGCTGCCATAGTGTGATTTGAGGTCGTCCTCTGGGAGTCTGAGAGCTGGTATTCAGGGTGTGGCAGTGTATTTTTGAGGCTGTGGGTGAAGAAGCTGGACCCTTGGCATTATACTTGTCTTCCTGCACCCAGTGAAGGATTCTGTCTGCTGCCAGTCTCCAGCAGGTTTTGCTGCTCTTTATCCTCTTTTTACCAGTACTTGGGAATTGCCAAAATCGTTTCCATCCTCCCCCTTCTTCTTCATCATGACAATGCTGAAGACAGGACATCATTTGGATTCTCAGACCTAGGAGGAAGGTTATTTCCTTGGAAGATAATCTGTCTGGGCCGAATTCCTGCCCTAATACTGCTGCAGAGGCAGGCACTCGGCATGCCGCAGCTGCACTCCTTTGGGTGTGCGGAGGTTCAGATGCAGAGGTGGGAGCTGAGACAGCGGTTAGGAATGACCCGTGCACTGCTCTTGGCTTTCAACACATCCCATAAGCTGTCCAGCCCTCACCACAGGGCTTGGGACTGAAAGCTCTCAGTGCTTTACTGGTTGGGAGGGTCAGTAGATCCAGATTTGGGCTGTCTGCTGCGGCTGCTGGGTGGAGAGGGGAGCCTTGAGAACTTCGAGGCTGCTGGCATAGCATTGCATGTGCTTGTGGACACCTGAATGTTTCCTCCAGCCAACTCAAATAATTTGGGATGGGGGTTTCTGGTGTTCCAGGATAGATGGCCGCAGCAGGACTGTGCCTTTCCTGGGTGCTGAGGTAATATAAAATACAGAAACAAACTGCAGAAAAAACACAGTTGGAAGGGGTCCCTGGAAATCTTTGGCCCAAAGCAGAGCTTAACTTCATAGTAATTCAGGTTGCTCGTGGCCATGTCTGGTTGACAAGAAGGAGATTTCTGCACCTTGGTCCCAGGGCTGACCATGCTGGTAGCGAAGAGTTGGTTTTTTTTCTGGATGTGTAGTCAGAATTTCTCTTGCTGTAGTTTGTTCCCGTCACTTCTTGTCCTTTCATGGTGCAGTCAGAGAAGTTTGGCTTCACCCTCTCTCTGCCTTCCAGTGATGTTGACAGGAGGAAAACACATGACGGCTGACTTCCCATCTCCTTCGGTGTAGCCCTGCCCATCTGACACACACTCCTGGAGGGCTGCTGCGGAGATGTGGGAGTGCTCCAGGCTGAGCCACAGCAAACTTGGGAGTCCTGCTTGGTCTTCTCCTTCTGGTGGTGCCTGTGTGAACAGCGCTGCTTTTGGCATTTACGGTTGTTTGTATTTGCAAGGCCTTGCTCTGATGCAAATCTTTGCTGGCTGCAAGGCAGAGCTTGTGATATGGTTCACATCTCTCACCGCATGTGTTTTGCTGTGATTGGTAGACTGTAACTGTTGAAATTGGAGAGGAGTGAGGCTTTTGACTTTTGCAGAAGCTTTTACAGTTGAGAGACTCTACCTGTAAACAGCTGTGACTCCTGCTTCTATAACGGATGCTGTCTAAAGAGGGAACAAGAATCGTGGCTGTAATGAACATCTGAAGACCCTTATGGTCTGCAAGGACCGCTTGCCCTAAGGGGGTTGCTGCAAAGAAGGCAGCGAGCCTGTGGTGCTTCCTGAAGTCTCTGTAGATGTCACCTGTATGACACAGCCCTCCACAGTGTCAAGTATTTTGAGCAAAAGCATCTCAGTCAGAAAGGCACCGGGGTCTGGTGTAACAGTGTTGCACGGCAAGGAGACTGTTGCTGGTTCCGAGCTTGTTACTTCCATAGCGTGTTTCCTCCCGCTGATTGTTTTTTAAGAAATACAACATTTTCTGCAAAATTAATGAAGACTTTTTGCTCCCAGAAGTTTCCTCCTTGTTTTAGTCATTTTAACTTTGGCTTGGAAGCCCCTTGGGCTCTTCCCTTCTTGACTGAGCCACTTACATCAGTTCCTTAAGTCTTTGCTTACAAGGATGTTTCTCAGGATTGAATCCTTCTTATTGATATTCCCTGGACTTCCTCCCAGGCTTTCAGCAGCCTTTATATGGGAGCGAAAGCAGCAGATTTATTATTCCAGTCTCGAGCTTGCTAACTCCACGTGCGGGGGACCGCCTGAGAATTGGGCTGCTTGCCTTTGCTACAGCATTGTAGTGGAAGCTGCTTCTCAGTCACTGATGTCTAGTAATCCTTCGGTCTCTTTGCTGTTGTCTCTGTATCCTGGGTTATGTCTTTCTGTAGCGGGAATTTTGTAGTCACTGGAGACAGGCTCTTGGATTTGGTCCCCTGGGAGAGAGGGAGATGAAGCTGAGCCTTTCGGCCCTTGAACTCCCCTGCAGCCCTGTTGCTCTGAGCTGGCTTTCCCTTCACTGGCTGTCTCTTGCCAACAAGAACATAAGTGATCTTTTTTTCTTTTAAAAAATATCCTGTGATCTCTTCAGCTACATTTCCCTCCAGTTAGAAGAGTGTGTGTCTTTTAGGTGCTCCCTGCTGCTCTTCGTGGTGGGGATTTACGTCTTGGCAGGTCATCTGCAGTGGGTCAGGGTGCTGAAGGTGGGTCCAGCTTCATCTGGCTCCAGCAGGAGAGGGTTGGTTCAAGTCCACTCAAGAAAGAGGATAATGAATGGGGATGGAGGGATGAAGGGAGCCAGAGCACCTCTGTAGCGAGCCAGTGCTCAACAGCTTTGCTGCAGGGGTGTCAGCGTGATCCTGGTGCCACTCTGCTGCAATTTTTTTGGCTGTGTCTTGGCCTGGGACCACGTGAGACCTTCGGGGGCTAGTGGCAGCAGGTTTCCTCTCTGCTCTATTCAGCCAGAAGTAATAATTTGGTTTTGCTCCTTTTCAGGTCTCTTCACACTCCTGGTCGAAGATTTTGGTGAGTACAAGAAGTCTTCCTGGGAAGTTGGTTTCATGCTTGATATTACCCCTAGTCCTTTCTGGTGGGCTTTGTACCAGCTTCTGCCCTTTGTTTGCAGGGGTCAAGGGAGTGCAGGTTGAAGAGATTTATGATCTGCAGAGCAAATGCCAAGGGTAAGTCACAGGTGTGAAAGTTTGAGTTTTATTAAGCAGAATGCATCTGTGGGCCTGGGAACTCATCGCCAGGTGGTCAGAGGGGCTTGTGTGAGCTCATCAGGTGTAAGTAAGTTGTAAGCATGAAGGAGTGCTTCATCAGGTTTGGGGCAGAGGGGTGATCTCATGCCTTAAGAAAGACCGTGGGTGGGGGACATACTTCAGGGAATTTGTCTCCCTTATGGAGAGGTACAGTGCCAAGCCGGCATGCTTGCAGTGGGCTTTCTCCCTGTCTCGGTGCTTTAAAATGGCTTTGAGACTGCCGCTTTCTTAAAAGCCATTGTCTGATCTCCTCTTGAAAATGAAAATGAGGTATGTGTAAAAGGAGGGATCAGTTGGTGGTCAGGCACTGTTCTGCAGGTCAGTCAGTGTCCAGAGGTGAATTTCACCTCCTATTTTCTCTGGCTTGAGCCTCTTAGGACCTGTCAGACCCCAAAGTTTTCAAACTTGATTGTTGCCTGAGCCTGGAACATCAGCACAGGAGGGTGTCCTGGGTAACAGGGATGGTTGCTTCCAGAAAGATGGGGCTGGTGGTTCTGCTTTCCTTCCCTGTCTTTGCTCTGCCTGTGGTTTGAAACAGAAGGTTTCTGGCGCTGGGCAGAGCAGCCCCACTGCTGTGGTCTGTCCAAAATGATGCAGCTTCTGCCTTCTCTCCGCAGCCCTGTGTATGGGTTCATCTTCCTGTTCAAGTGGATTGAGGAGCGCAGATCACGCCGGAAGGTCTCTACCCTGGTGGATGAGACATCAGTGATCGATGATGACATCGTTAATAACATGTTCTTTGCTCACCAGGTAGCCTGGAGGCGAGGGGAAGGAGGGGGGGAGGTGTCTTATGTGGCACCTCAGGGCAGCAACGTGGTACTGAGAAGCTGCTTTGCTCTCGCTGGTCCTGAGAGCAGCTCCTCTTTCCTGTGAGTCTCTGCCCTGAGCTCCAGGTTGGAGGGAATCCAGTGAGGGCTGCAAGCCTGTTCGTGGCCTGTGCTGGGAGCAGATCCTCATGGGGGCATGGTGTGGCTCGCTAAACGAGACTGACCTCTTTCCTTCCTCTGAGAGCCGAGGTCGAGTCGCTGCTCTCACAAGTGGTTCTTGCATCAGTACTTAGTTGATTCTTGTTGACTCTGAAGGGCTGTGGAAGGGTTGCCTTGTTCCTGCTGGTTAAGATGGTCTTTGTGTCACTCTCCAGCTGATCCCCAATTCCTGTGCCACCCATGCCCTGCTGAGCGTCCTCCTGAACTGCAACAATGTCGATCTGGGCCCCACGCTGAGCCGCATGAAGGATTTCACCAAAGGATTCAGCCCTGAGGTAGGGGCTGCGTGCAGGGCTGTGCACAGGTGGCGCGTGTGAATCTGCCTCTTGCTCCCCTCTCAGGATGATGCGCTAACGAGCTGGCTCCTCCAGCCCTTCGTGGCTGCACGCTATGTCGGTATTGCATCTTCCTACCTTGCCTTGCTCAGAGCCTTGGTGCCCTTACACTGGGCACAGCTCTGAGCCTTCTGTCCTGTTATTCCCTAGCCCAGGTGCATTCTCCAAATCTGTGATCAAAAGTCCTCTCTCCTACCTTCAGACCTATCTTGAAGTCTGTGTTTCTCTCTAACTGTAATTTCTTTAGCAGAAATGATGTGTTCTGTTCATCTTGGGTTTTACTCAAAACTCAGCAGAGCAGAGGATGTGCCTGAAAGTTGCTTTCCCAGCCCTGCATATGGAGGGAGGGAGCGGGGAGCTAGTGGGTGACGCATTTTGTTTCCTGTCACTTCTCAGTCATTTTCCTCTCTTGCTCTTTGCTGCAGAGTAAAGGCTATGCCATCGGCAACGCCCCAGAGCTGGCCAAGGCCCATAACAGCCATGCCAGGTGAGCGAGGGGGTGTCCTGCAGCTCGCTTTCGCTGGAGGAGGCAGGCTCTCTGCTGACCTCTCGTCTCTTTTGCCCTCGCAGGCCAGAGCCACGGCACTTGCCGGAAAAGCAGAATGGCATCAGTGCTGTGCGAACCATGGAGGCTTTTCATTTTGTCAGTTATGTCCCCATCAAGGGACGGCTGTTTGAGCTGGACGGGCTGAAGGTCTATCCCATTGACCACGGTAAGAGCCCACCTGTCCCTACTCCTTGACACAGTCGAATAGACACCCTGGTATGTCCAAATGTTTGTATTATTTTTCATTGCCACTAAGCGTTAACTAATGTTTGTGGAGAATCACTCCAGTGGCTCCCAGATTTGTCCTGAGTTTTGATAGCTCATTTTGGAGCCTGTGCACTGGGGACTGCACACTGCGTCTAGAAAGCAATTATTTCTAAATGCATTGCATTGCTCTTTCCAGCCTTGCCATTTTCCTCCCCAGTTGCTCAGGGTCACAAGGGCCTTCTGCAGCTCTGAAATGCCTTGGTATCGCAAGCAGTATTTGTGTCCTCCTTACCCTCTCCTTGCGCCAAATAACTGGTGTGTGTTGAGGCACAAGGTCCCAAGACAGATCCCGGCAGGCTGCTTGGGTTACTCCCTTCTTTTATGACTTGACCCCTAGTTCTGTCTTTCAGACAGTTCTTTATCCCCGCTAGGACTCTGCTTCTGTCAGGCCCTTTGGTAAGGTACCCACATCATGTACTTGGGTTTCTTAAGCACGGCATCAGATCCAGTGGCACGTGAACTCCAGCAGAATCTGGGATTTCCTTGGGCTTTATGAGCCCGGAGCCTGTGAATTGCTTGTGGTCTGTAGGGTTCAAAACTCACCTTTCTGCCCTGCAGATAACTCACGTTTTCCATTTCAAAGGCAGAGGCAGGGGGTTCCACGTATGGGCTGACAGCGTGGTCCTTCTGCCTCCCAGGCCACTTCTTGACTTGCTTCCTGGTGTCTAAGGGAGCCATGAGATTGCCTCTCGTGGGGATGGCAGGATCCACTCTGTGAATCTGAAGTAGGAGCCTTGGGCTGATTTGCTAAGTCTGGCTCTGTCTCATCACAGGGCCATGGGCTGATGACGAGGAATGGACGGACAAAGCCAGGAGAGTAATCATGGAGCGCATTGGCCTGGCCACTGCAGGGTAATGTCCCGGGGTGTGGTGGAGGCACTGGCCCCTCGCTGTTTTTCCCTGGATTATTTCTACTGTGGTCTCTGTGTGACAAGTTGTGGAAGTGGGGGTGGAGGATGTTGCTTGGGAAGGGTGGAGGTGCACTGCCTCCTTGCCTTCTCTTGCCTGCAATTTGCCTGCCTTCAGAGAACGCAGAGAAGCCACACTCTGTACGATGCAGAGTCCCTGCAAATGGCCATGCAGGTAAGAGTGGCCAGATTAGGTTAGCTTGGGTCCATAGGAGAAGGAATGGTGCTTCTGGTCCTGAGCTGGGCCTCTTGGATGCTTGGGCGTGAGGGTGACTGAGTGCTGGCACGCGTTGCCCTGAGAGGTTGTGGAGTCTCCATCCTTGGAGATACTCAGAAGCTGTCTGGACGTGGTCCTGGGCAACCAGCCATGGGTAACCCTGCTGGAGCAGGAGCTGTAGCAGATGACCTCCACAGGTCCCTTTCCACCTCAGCCGACCTGTGACTCTGTGCAGGGTGTTTTGTGTTGTGGCTGAAGTAACCTGCTCTGCTTCTTCAGCCAGTGTGAGGTTGGCTTGGTTTTGGGGGGAAAAGCCTCCCGTGTGTTGGTGTTAAACACCAGGGCAGGGGAGGTGCCGCCTGGAAAGAGCCCGCAGGAGGTGTGGGGGGTTTGGCTGGCAGCCTCCTGGCCCCCCTGTCTGGGAGATGGGCTTTGCACCACCGGCTTGCAGCTGATGTCTGCTGTCCCTTCCTGCAGGGAGCCATACCATGACATCCGCTTCAACCTGATGGCGGTGGTGCCTGATCGGAGGATGAAGTATGAGTCCAAACTGCACATCCTGAAGATGAACCGCCAGACTGTGCTGGAGGCCTTGCAGCAGGTGAGACAGCTCAAGCCCTGAGAGAGTGTGAGCCTGACGTGGGAATAGGCTCTGCTGTCAGGGCATCACCCTGTGCAGGCCCTGGATTTTATGATTTGTTTTTTGGCCTTGGGAAATGCCTTCTGGGAGGAGGAGGTAGCCAGCCGGGCTGCTTGGCCTTTGGCTGCTTGGCCTTTTGCTGCTCACCTGGGAGGTTGTCCGTGCAGATGCACGGGCGCTCGGCCATTGTCTCACCCTCGCAAAGTTCTCCTTCTGCAGTGCTTGAGCAGGAGGGATGTGGTTTGGGTTGCCCCAGTCCAGCGCTCAGTTTCTGTCATTTGCCTTCAAGCTTATCCGAGTAACTCAGCCTGAGCTGATCCAGACCCAGAAGTCTCAGGAGTCTCAGCCCCCAGAAGAGGCAAAGCTAGCCAGCAGCAAGACTGCAACTCCAGAGAGCACCCATCCAGGTAGGCCCCCGTACTGGTGGTGTTGCCAGCCAGCCAGCCCGGCCTGCCATGAAGTGAGCACAGGCTGGTGACAATGGCTGGCTGACCTGGACTTTGAGGGAGCTTTATGGTCAGCTTCACTTTCTTTTCTTCAAGCCCAGCTCCGCGCACACTGTGCTGGGGCGTGGTAGATGCATCTGTGCCTGGGCGAAGTGTTGGAGGGACATGGAGCTTGAAAATGGGAGGGCTTAAGCTTGGGAACACTTGTGACGGCTGGAGGTGGAATGGGAAAGCGGGTATGATGGTCTGGTGGAGCATAAGAGCTCTTCTGCTTTGTGGCCTGGGCAAGGGGTGGCAGAGGACATTGAGTAAAACGTGGTGGTGCTGGTCATGAAAGGCTGTGCTGTGCTTGTATGGCAGATGGCACCGATGAGCCTGCCAGCCTGGGCCACCCTGCAGCCACGCAGAGCCCACCCAGCAAATCCAAACCGGTGGCAAAGACGTCAGCGAGCAGTATCAACGGGGCGCCTCCAGCAAACCCCAACCCCATCGTGCAGAGGTTGCCAGCCTTCCTGGATAATCACAACTATGCCAAATCCCCCATGCAGGTAGGCTGGAGCTCCAGGCCAGCAGCATGCCTGACTTGAGCTGAGCTTTTCAATTCCAGTCCCTCACCTCTTTGGGACTATGGCTGTCAGGCAGTCTAAGCCTTTCCCTGGCCTTGCAGCCTGCCCTACCCTTGCACTAACCCAGGCTGGCAGGTGAGGGGGTAAAGTCTGACCTGGCAAAAGAGGTGAGCATTGATGTGGGTCAACTGAGCGAGCACAGGGAAGAGTTCCCCGTCTCCTCTCAGAAGGGGCAAGCCCTGCTGCTTAGCTGGCCTAAGGACGTATCTGCTGGGCTCCTCCTTGCCCTGCTGTCGGCAGGCCATCAGCAATGGTGTTTTGCAGGAGGAGGAAGATCTGGCAGCAGGAGTGGGTCGCAGCCGGGTCCCAGTCCGACAGCACCAGCAGTACTCGGATGATGAGGATGACTATGATGATGATGATGAGGAGGAAGTTCGTAACACCAACTCGGCCATCAGGTGACAGCTTGAGCCGAGGGCGAGGGGCAGGGAGCAGACATTTGCAGAACCACCAGCGGTGACTTCCAGATCTTTCCTGAGTGGTCAGCTGTGTTAGGGCCTGCACCTGTGGGCGCAATTAGGGCTGCTCTCTTGTCCTGCTATTTCACTGGATTTTGTGAAGCGCTTCTGTAGCTCTTCACAATTTTGGCTGCCCTGACTAACTGCGTATCAGCAGCAACCTTTGCGGCTTCTCTGCTTTCTCCCCTTTTCCAAATGTTCCCAAATAAACAGAATAGCCCTGCTCTGGAGGGGCTTCTCGTAGCTCCCTCCTGCTAGGGCTTTTCTAGTGCCACTGGTGGCTGCGTGGGTGGTGGGGCTTGACCTGCAGAAGGTCACCTGGCAGCTGATAAATTGCAGTATTTTGCGGTTGGGGAGTGGAGACCGACTGCGCTGCATTGAAGGGAGCCTGGTGGTTAAGGAAACATGGTGGGCCCTGCCTGGGGGGCTTCATTTCACCAAAATCAACCTCAGTTCCCCAGTGCTGATTGCCAAACTGGCTCCGGGTGGCAGTGTTGGTGTGCTCATAGTGCTGTTAAGGTCTGGAAGGTGGGGTCACAGCAAGGCTGCTCTTGGGGCTTCTGAGGGAAGAGCAAGGGGTACACAGCACCCTTTGGGAAGCCCTCTGTGCCCCTTGGCTGCACAGGAGTACCCATAGCTGGTGGTTCAGTGGCGTGGGTGCTGTCAGGGAAGCTGGTGGCAGTGGTGGGGGGGCCTAGAAATGTTTCAGGCCATCCCAGCAGGCAGCCTGGAGTGCTGAGCATGGAGCTGGCAGTGCCTGCGCTGGGCCCCCACCTCTTTCCGCCAGCTGCTCACCTTCCCTGCTGTGTGTCTGGCAGGTACAAAAGGAAAGGGCAGGTAAAGCAGGAGCACGGGATGGGGGCTGCGGATGGCCAGCTCTCCGTCCTCCAGCCCAACACCATCAACGTCCTGGCCGAGAAGCTGAAGGAGTCTCAGAAGGACCTTTCCATTCCCCTGTCCATCAAGACAAGCGGTGGGGGCGCTGCTGTGGCGGTGGTCACCCACTCCCAGCCCTCTCCCACGCCCAGCAACGAGAGCACGGACACTGCCTCGGAGATCGGCAGTGCCTTCAACTCCCCGCTGCGCTCTCCCATCCGCTCGGCCAACCCCACCCGCCCCTCCAGCCCCGTCACCTCCCACATCTCCAAGGTGCTCTTTGGTGAGGAGGACGGTCTGCTGCGAGTCGACTGCATGCGCTACAACCGGGCCGTCAGGGACCTGGGGCCCATCATCAGCACCGGGCTGCTGCACCTCACGGAGGACGGCGTGTTCTGCCCGCTGGCTGTTGCAGGTGGGTGCCTGCCAGCTTTTTGGGGGGGTGGCACCTCCCCTGCTGCAACGGAACAATGTCCTGTGGCTTCGGGAGTGGCTACTGGTCCTTTGCCATGGCTCCTAATGCTTCCTTTCCCCGTGCACAGATGGGGGGAAAAGCTCCCCTCCTTCCATCAAACCCGGTGAAGAGGCCCCGGTCGCTATCAAACTGGACGAGAAGGAGGGCAGTGAGGCCAGTGACAGCAAAGAGAAGGTGGGACTTGGCAGGACCAGTGATCACCCTGGGGGGGAAAAGTATTCTCCCAAGGTGAGTTTTGTGCTGCGACAGCCCTGGGAACATGGAGCTCCCTGCGCTCACCCAGAGACGCAGCAGCGCTGGCAGTGACTGAACCGCATGTGCACGCTGTCCCGCTCGCGTGTCGCCGCAGCCGTCCCTCGAGGCACAGAGCAGTGCAGGTTTTGTGCCTTGCGTCATCTCGGGGACATTTGCCTTGGCAGTGGGCAGAGCCACTGTCTCCTGCAGCTGAGACGTTTGGTGTGCCGTGCTCTCTGTTGGGCCAGGGGCTGGTGGGACCCTGCACCCCCAAATCCCAGCCTGCCGATAACTTTACTGCCTGTCTCTGCCCTCCAGCCGGAGACAGGAGCAGGCTTGGGTGGCACAAGCACATCGGGGCTCCCTGGAGGAGAGCTGGCTAGAAACTGTTTTACTCAAAAGGGAGGTCTTCAGATTTTGCTATCCAGAGGAACCAGGCCCTGGGGGGTATCTCAGGCATGCAGGCAACCCTTCCCCCTGTCCCAAAGAACCAGGTATGTGGGGCTGGGGCAGAGCCCAGCACCGCTGGGGCTGGCCGTAGTGCTGGCTGATTGATCACACTGACTCAGGAATTCCCTACAATGAACTGCCCTTTTTTTTTGTTTTTTTCCCCCTTGGCAAGTGTTCTTTGCTTTGATGAATCCTCCCTTTCCCAGCACAGAGAGGAACACCCAGCAGCTCACCCTGCCCACTCCTGGGCTGCAGCAGGGGTCTGTCTGCTCACCTTTGCTCTGTTTGATCCTGGCAGGAGCTGCTGGCACTGCTGAAGTGCGTGGAGGCAGAGATTGCGAACTATGAGGCCTGCCTGAAGGAAGAGGTGGAGAAGAGGAAGAAATTCAAGGTATGTTTGCTGATGGCTTGTTTGCGTTGCTGATTTAGCTCCCTGAAGGCTTCTGTCTGGGGTTTCTTTATGTCAAAGTGGAGGGAGGGCGTTTCAGCTGAGAATGGCAATGGGGAGCATTTGGGGTCCCTTTCCCAAACAGCCCTATGGGGCAGAGCTCCCCCCAGGGCAGAGCAAATCCCCTGGGTGGTACGAACCAGCCTGGGGTGGAGGGCTGCAGCCGGGCTGCAGCTGAACATCTCCACTGCCAGGAGGCTGGAGGGGTGGTCTGTGCCCCGAGGCCTGGCAGGATTCCTCCCCTGCCCCCTCTTGCCTCTTCCTAGCTGCCCTTTGTGGAAAATGCTGGCGTCTGAACTGGGATGGAGACCATCCCAGTTGTGCACTGGCCTGGGCTGGGCTGGGAGCTGGGTCCCTTCCCACTCCGGTCTCCTTGGCCGGTGGGCATGCCGGTTCTTTGCCCCTTGTTAGCCTTGTGCTCTCCTTTCTCCCTGCCACCTGTTTGTGGCTTATTTGTGGATTTGCCATCTCTGCAGATCGATGACCAGAGGAGAACCCACAACTATGATGAGTTCATCTGCACCTTTATCTCTATGCTGGCCCAGGAAGGTGAGCAGTGCTGTGCGAGGGGACGGAGCCCGGGGTTCAGATTCAGCTGGGGCAGCTGCACGGAGCGCGGCAGAGCAGCAGCTGGGAGCCTGGGCAGCTCACCCTGCCCTGACTTCTGCTTCTGCCAGGCCTGGGGCATGAGGTAGCGCTCAGTCTGGGGGGCCACACGTCTCTGCTTCGTGTCCTGATTTTATAGTCCCAGAAGGGGCTCGCTGATAGGTTTTGGGCTGTGCTCTGGCCTGGGCAGTACCAGCACTCCAGCGTGGGCACGTCTGTCTGCCTCCCCCCCCGCAGGCATGCTGGCGAGCCTCGTGGAGCAGAACATCTCTGTCCGCAGGCGGCAGGGAGTCAGCATCGGCCGCCTGCACAAGCAGAGGAAGCCGGACCGCCGGAAACGCTCCCGCCCCTATAAAGCCAAGCGTCAGTAGCCTGGGGGTCAAGACTGTGAGAAGCAGCAGCTGGGCTCTGTGGCTTTGGGCAGTGGCACTTGGATCTCTGTTACCCTTTGCCCAAGGAAGAGGGACCGCAGTGACAAGCCCTCGGCTGAGCTGGAGCCTGGGGACAAAGAGAAATCGGGTTTTCCTCAGCCCGAGTTGTGAAAGGCAGAAATCTGTTGTCTCAAGGGGAGTCCCTGCCGCTGCAGCAGAAGGCAAGCTGGAGCGCCCAGTTGCCTGACCACACCGCGGCAGCGCCTGCAGGCTGTGGGGCCGCGTCTCGGCACCGTGGCTGAGGACTGCGCCAGGAGGGGAAGAGCCCACCTGGCCGGTGGCAGGTCTGGCATTGTGGGAATGCCAGCGATGCCCATGCGAGGCTGTGCTGGCCGCAGCGGGCTGGGGCTTGTGTCCTCCTGCGTCCAGGCCTTCAGCTCTGCACTTCCCCAGGACATTTGTGTCTGTTTTCCATCCCGCTCCCTCCCTGCCCCAAATTTATTTTTGGTTCTGACCCACGCTTTGGCTGTTGCTGAGCGAGGCAGCTCCTGGACAGGGCCTGCTCTCCTGCATCCACCCCCCCACCCTGCCCAGCTCCCAGCACTGGTGGATGCAAGGCTGGGCCGTGCCCCTGCGCCCTGCCCTCGCTGCTCTGGGCCTCCTTTATGTTGATTCTGTTGGTTTCAATGGCCAACCAGAGTGCTATTATTTCGAAAATAATGGGGAGGCAGCACCCCCTGCCAGTGCAGCCGGGCTCCCCCCTGGGCCTTGGCAGCCCTGCTGCCGGCTGAGGAGGGGTGGGCTCGTCCCTGGAGCTGGATCCTGTGCCCCTTTCCTGGGGAGCAGCTCTGTGGCCCTGGCAGTGCCTGTGGCTTGCATGGGGTTGCTCCAGGCCCGGTCCCCAGAGAAACCCTGTGAATTATGAACAGGCAGTGTTCATAGGGTGGCCTCGGTGCTGCTGGGCACAGCCCTGGGGTGGACGCTGGGTGCGGAGTCACTTGGTGCCCCGGTGAAGCCTTTTGGCAGGGGAGAGGCAGCTGGCTGTGTAATGCTCAAGGTGGGATGCGGACTGGGGGGGGTGTGTGGCAGCCTGTTTCCTACTGCAGCATGAGGGCCTGGCCTGCCTCCCGCCTGCTGCCTCCCGCCAGCCCTGCTGTGGTCTTCTCCTGCCTGTCCCCGGCAGAGATCTCAGAAGCCAGGGGTCGGCACCTCCCCAGCGGTGTCCTGAAGCGTGGCTGAGCCAAGGGGAGCTGCCACAGGGAAGGACTGAATTTTGCAAATGTGCAAATTCGTACAGCTCTTGGCTATGGAATGGAACTGTTCTTTTGGTAGTTGTTGAAGGGAAGAAAAACCCTTCTGTCTCTTGCTGTGTCTAATATCATGTTATGTAAATAATGGATCTGTCTGAAGGAATAAAGCTAGCCTGTAACAGCCAGCCGAGGGAGAGGTGTGCAAGGGAAGGGCGAGGGGTGTGCGTGCACCGTCTGCTCCGGGCTGCATGTCCTTGCTGGCAGCTCTTCTGTGGTGCTAAAAATTTAAGGTAATTGTGGGGATTGCAATGACACCAGGTGAATGTGATGCTGGTGGAGTCAAGCTCAATTTATTGGCACAGCTCAGAGGGCAGGAGGAGAGGGGGAGCTGCTGCGGGCCCGTGCGGCCTACCTCTGTGCAGGATGGCAGAGACTCTGGCTCAGGCCCTCGGCTGCGACTGTTTCCTGGATTGGGTGGGTTTTCTGGCTAGAAGTCCAGGGCGCAGATCAAGGCTGTGCCCCGTTTGATCCAGTGCTTCTGCGGCTTGTCTGTAGGGATCTCCACAGCAATCACGTAGTTGGTGGAGTGGCCCGTTGTTGACAGCGTGCCTGTAGCAGGGGAAGTGAGGGTGAGAGGGTGGTACTGCAGCCCTGGCTGCATGCTGAGCTGGACAAGTGACCCTGTGTGAGATCCCCTGTCCCACCCCTGTGCCTGGGGGAAACAGCCTTGTGTGTATTCAGGTGCGGGCTTGGGGAGAGCCTGGCCGAGGCACTGCCGCAGAGCCAGGGTGCCTGGCTGCTCCATCTCCACGACCACTGCAGGAGAAACCTTTTCCTCCCTGGCTGGTTTCAGCCAACGGCGCCTTGCCCTATTTCAGTGTGTGGCAGGAGGCACACACTGGGGCCTCTCCTGGGCTGCCCTTCCTAGCTGCTTCTACAGCCTCCCTTGCCTCTGGAGACCTGCCCTTAGGGCACCTACCTGCGCGAGTGAGAGTCTTATAGATGGGGCAGAGGTAGGTGCCGGTGGCTGGAGGCTGGCGGTGGGGGACAGGAAGCAGCCAGATGACGGCCATCTCGGTGTAAAGCTCCTTGGGGCGCGACTCCGCTAGCTGAAATGCAGCGGGGTCCCAGCGGGCGCCTTCGAGAAACAAACCGTGGATGTAGCAGCCTTCGTTGGGAGGGCGAGTGAGCTCGCCCACTGACTCCTTCATCACCTGCAGAGGAGAGTGGGCCCCGGGCCCTGATGAAGGCACGTCCCAAGGACACCCTTAAGTTGCTCTTAGTTAAGTCAGCACTGCCAAAGGGGAGCCTGCCCCAGCTCTCAGATGGGCTGGGCTGGGTTTTCTGTCATCTCGCATCATGAGGCTGTGGGGCAGCCTGTGGCAAAGCCTGCAGAGGGGGCTGTGAGCAGGTCTGGAGAGGCAGAGAAGCCTCTGCTTGCCCTGTGGAGGTGTCTGGCAGTGTGGGTGGGTGTATCTGAGCACAAGAGGGATGACAGGGTCCATGGGCAGCTGGTGGCTTCACCTCTTGGGCAGGTCAGGGCTGGAATTGCTGCCTTTGTGGCCTTCTAGCAGCAGATTCCAAAAAAAGTCCAGAAAAATCCAGAGTCTCTGGCTGACTTACTGACCTTAAAGCTAAATGAGATGGTGTCGATGGAGATGACGGATTTCCTGGCAAAGTTCTGCAGTGTGCCGGTGAGGAAGGCCTGGGGGAAGAAGAACCCGCTGATCCAGAACACAGAGGGGATCCCATGGCTGATCCATTTCTGGAGGAATTCAATGCGCTGCACCAGGTCATTCACCCAGGACGCCAAGGGCTTCAGCGATGGGTAGGCCTGTGGGGCACCCACAGAGGAAGGTGTTGAACGCAGTCAAGGACACCCTAGACCTTGTGCCCCATCTGCCCAGAGCCCAGGATTCGTCCAGCCTGGGGATGGGAACACCTTGGAGCTGCACTAGGCAGGAGACATTTCCATGATGGAGGAGCAAGAGCTGGCTCCAGTCCAGCTGTGGTGGCCAATGACCCATTCCTGCGGTTTGGGTGAGCTCCTGCAGGCAGCTGGGCTGGCCAGGGCACGTACCTTAGCATTCCACAGCTCGGGGACAGTGTTGTTGTACAAGCTGCTGGCCATCAGCTCCAGCTGCGAGGACATCACAACCAGGCCCTTGAGAGCTTTCAGCAAATCCTTCAGCGTCTGAGCAATCACCTCCAGAAGCCTGTTGTACCTACAGGGAGAGTGCAGGGGGAGCAGAGCACCTCAGTGCAGCCCATGTCTGCCCAGAGAGGCTATGGTTCTCTGCAGAGTGAGTGAGGCTCCTCCACGTAACCCCCGGCTCCATTCCTCTTTAACAGGGTCTCACAGCTGCCCCCCTCCAGCCCTGAATTGCTCATAGTAGTGGATGGAGACCCTGGACAGGGATCAGCTGATGGTCCTGGCTGGAACAACACAGTTAGTGTGGCTGCCAATCCCACTGCTGTGCTCAGCGATGAGGTTCTTCAAAGGTTGGTGGGAGCAGGGGCCTGCACCTCTCTGCTGCTCCCCAAGGGAGCAGCTGGTGGCTGGCCCAGGACGTGATCCCATGGGGGTTTTACCTGATCACCTCCTGTACCAGCACTGTGTTCATGGACTCTTCATAGAGCAGTGGGTATTTGTGGATCACCTCCTGCAGGTTCATGGGGGCCGGCAGCTTTGCCAGGATGTTCTCGGAGGTCTCCTCCACGAGCTGGAAGGAAGGCAGTGAGTGGGTGAGTGTCCTCCTGGCCATGGCTGCTGATAAAGGGGAGAGCTAACGCCTGGATGGCAATGCCATTGCTGCCACCCAGCAGGCAGGAGGGCATGCCCTGAGAGCTGGTGTTCGTGCTCGCTGCCTGAACACGTGCTGGCTGCAGTGGGGCACACACCTCTTCCCTGCTGCGGCCTCCCAGCGTGAAGGTCTTGGGTTGCAGCTGCATAATGGCCCCCAGCAGAGCAAAGGTCTCGTTCTGAGCGAAGGTGATGTTGGCGTTGTCGTGTAAACCAAAGAGCTCGGGGCTATCATTGAGCGGCAGGCTCTTGATGTACTGGAGATAGCCCTGGGGAGGAATCCACACAGGCTGTGAGGCCAAATGCACAGCGATAAAGCTGTGGTGCCCCTTTGGGCTGCTACGGACCTAGACCGAAATAAATGACTAAGCCAGGGTTGCTGGCTAAGCTAAGCCCAGCAGATCTAAGCCCAGCAGATCACAGACTCAGTTGTCTTGTCTTGGTGTTTGGGATTCACTCATCTGAGTTTTACACAGCTCTTTGTCCCCTGTCATGGCCAGGAAACGCAACTCACAGCTTTGACTTAGGGCGAGCTCATGCGTGCCCAGAGCAACGCTTGCTGATGCAGGACTCGGGCGGCTGGGGAGGCTGATGGGTTTGTGGCCTGGTTGGGCTGTTAAATTGCACTTGTGTAGAAGGAAACACGTGCTGTGAGAACAGGCAGCTTGGCAGTGGGCTTCCTGCTGCGTCTCCTGCAGAGCTCCTTGGGTACTTTAGGTATGTGATATCAAAGTGATTCAGGGCACAAAAGCTTTCAGCTGGGGGACTCTGGTGATAGCTGCTACCACCTCCTGTGCACAGGGACCAGATTTTCCTCCTGTTACATGAAATGGATGCAGCTTCCTGAAAGCAGCTGAAGAGCCCCAGGTTCTTACAAACTTCATATTCCCCCAGGGCACTGGAGACGCAGTGGGTGTCGGGGAGGAGCAGATCCCCTTTGCACTATGACAATCCCCCTGGATCTATGAGCTGCAGTTTGTCACTTGAGTACTTACGTCAAGGTCAGAAGAGGTACTGATCTGCTTGTAGACCCCTGATTCGGAATAGGCAAACTCAGGAATTAAAACCTCAGGCTTGTAGAAATCTTCCAAAATACTCATGATGCAGCGCCTGTCCCAGTCGTCGGTCACACGTCCGCCGTAGTTGATCTCCCCAGCTGTGTACCTCAGGACCTGTGAGGGACCCCGCCACAGCTTTCCAACCTGCACCTGCATCGTGAGCCTGTTCCCTCCAAGGGAGGGGCCAGCTCACGCACTCACCTTGTACGGGATGTCTGCGTACTCGCTCAAAAACATCTGTAGCTGACTGATGCAGATGCGGAGGTCTCCATCTGTGAACTCATAGGGGATGTTGAACCCTAGAGGCCCAAACTTTCTCCTCTCCAGCATGTTCCCATGGAAGAAGCAAAGTGACAGCAACAAGGATTTAAACTCTGCAACCTGTGGGCAGGGGAGGAGGGAGAAGAGGTACTCAGCTTGGGAGGAGGCATCCCTGCATGGGGTCAGTTCCTGCTGGGACCTGGGAGAAGAGATGTGCCAATTCAGCAGCGCCAACTGGACCCTGGAGAGGTGGAAACCTCAGTCAGGCTGCTGTGGCCCACTCCCTTGCTTCAAGAGAGCTGCAAGTGCCTTACATCAGGCCTCTGCAATCCTGTTGCTTCTGTTTCTCAAAGTAAAACTTCTAATTGGCTCATCACAGAGAAGATGTGGGCTTATGAGAAATACCACCAGCCCTTCTCTAGCACACAAGAGCTCTAGTGGAGAGGAAGATCTATGTCTGCAGAGGAGCAACATCTAGGTGGAGAGCCTACACTGGAGCAGGCACGGGCTGGGGGCAGCAAATCAAAGCATGACTTGGTCTTACCTTGGGGCAAGAATTCAAGAAGTCATCACTGAAACTAATGTAGGATTTGAGCAGGTTGGCCTTGACCCCACGGGGGGGCTCGATGGTCATCTTGGAGCCATTCTGGAGGATGGCCACAGGGAAGTCGTTGCTTGGTAAACTGGTGAGCCAGAGGCGAAAGTCCTGATGCACCTGGAAATCCAGAAGGCAGCAAGTGCTCAAGAGGGTGCAGGCACAGCCACTGCAGCTGCTCCTGCTCTGACCCTCTGGTTTTATGGGGAACCTGTGGATGGGATTGAACTAGATCTGGGCTCCTCCCAGGGCCCCAGCCTCCTGCCTGTTAGACTCAGGGTGGGCAGGCTGCTCAGTAAAACAGCTCACCTTGCTGGGGTCAATGCCCTCAACGAGTCTCTCCAGTGAAGGCATCCAGCTGGGGGCCAGATGGCAGTTCTGGAAGAAGACCCAGTTGCCCTCCTTCATGGCACTGTGCATCATGGCTTCAGCACGGGGACCCTGAGGAGGCGGATGAGAATGAGCTCA